CAAAGAAAAATCAAATTTCATTGAAGTATTTAAGGATTTATAGAAATTACATATGGGGAGGAATGCAGCAGATTCTCTATCTTTCCTCCATGTTTCTATGGTTAAAATTTTAAAAGGGTGGAACAAAAGATCTTTGCAAATAGATTATTTGAAGAAGATCTTTTCTGAGGTGATGACAAGGGAGGTCAGTGGTAACACTCCTAAAACATGTGAAATATTCAAGGAGTGCATGAGATTATTTGATAGGGGCAAGAGGTGGAATACCACCTGAAGATAATTAAGATTGTCTTGTTCCCATGCTATAGTATGCTTCTGCTGCTACTGTTGATGATGTGATGTGTGTGCATGATGTCCTACAAAATTTTATGACATTTTTCTTGATATGTGAACTTGAGTAGTTCATATTGGTTTGATACGCTGGATTTTATTATGTTTTGGGTTTTTCTCTTGAGGCGGGGAAGATTTCAGGTAAGTGATCATGGTCTGGAAGTTGATTCCTATAAGAGAAAATGTTTTATCACTATTGTGAAGAAGACAACTGCTATATATGGTTTATCATGAAATGTTTTGGTCATCCACGTGTTTAATAATTCAGATGATGCTCTAAGAAGTAACATAGCGGGATAAGGCAAGATGTACATCATGTGTGTTGGGCGGTTTTAGCTGGAGTTCTCATTAGTAAGTCCAATGGTGTGATCATTGAGAAATATGCTAATGTTCAAAGCAATGTTGGGACACCATCTCAAGATTTTAAGACTCCAGGAGTCAGGATGAGCTATATCTGAAAACTCTTGAGTCACAAGTGTTTATTGTTTTTGTGCTCAAATATGTGAATCTAAGAGTGTTCGTATTCTTTGTGTTTATATCTCCACTTGATTGAGAGTTAGTATTTGGTGCAGTGTCTTTGTTCATCTGAGGTTATTTATGTATTCTAGTCTTTTTCAAGACTGTGGTTGAGGGAAGTCTAAACTCTCAATGATTTTGGTTGTTTAAAGAATGCATTGTTCAACCAGATGTCATTACAGTGTGTTATGAAGAGCTTAGTCCAAAGGTTCCAAAGATAACAGTATGCATAACATGACAAGTAATTATAAAAATTGACACTTCTAAGGCTGCTTATTTGATAATCTCTAGAAGGTATGTTTTTTTTCTCGTGAGGAGAAAGTTATTCTGAAGGGTATGTTTGAAATTGTACTACTGAAGAACGAGTGTAGGCTCTAGTCGACGGTATACCTACATCTAGAGTCACGTGAAAAACATTTTTTCAATGGTTTGGAGAAGTCACACATAATGTTGAAACATTTATGCGGTCAAGACTTGGAAAGAGAGAAACTAAACAGATCAATGTCTCTCTCTTGAAATGAATAGTGCACTGTTAACAAGGATGACTTTATCTTCTTGGAAAACGCATGCATTGACTGGTTGTGTCGTTACAAACAAGGCATCGTGACAAACTGTAGCAACCTTCCTTGAATATAAATACCCCTCACTTGTTCTTCCCTCTCATATTTTCCTTTTCATCTGTTTGTTTTAGTATTGTTAGTTGTATCTTTCATTAGAGTTCTATTTGTGTCCTCTTTGCTTTCATTCTCACACTCAGTCTTTGTCATCTTTTGGATAAAAGGGGGAGAGTAGTATTGTTGAGTTGAGTCTTGTTTAGAACAAGGGGTGTTGAGTGTTGCTGATCCTTGTTGAGTCTTGTTTAGGGGTGTTTGCATGCAACAATTAAGGGGGAGTATGACCATCTATTATAAGGTTTTCTATTTTTTAATCTGATGGTTCTTATGTAGTGGGTGTATACAGGATGTCTTACCATATGATTTAACATTTCGTCTGGTGTGTTCTTTTTGTCACGTGATCTTCTAATATGTGTTGCTCCTGTCACATGGTCTTCTAACTTGAGTTAGTCAAGTTAGATTTCTTTTTGGTTTCTTGAGGCTACAGGAAAATTCTCCTAGGGCTTTGTGACAAGAATTTAATCTAAGTCTTAGGGGGAGTAACTTGGGAAAGATGCAGGTTATCTTCTTCCTCATGTACACTAACTAAAAGATATCCCTAGTGTTGTGTTCCTCTTCAGTGTGTTTGTGGGAAAAGTATTTTAGCTAAAAGTCTGCCAAAGAGGCGATGGATCTTGATTATCGATTGAATCTGTATTGATGTTGTTGAGGGGGAGAATTTACTAGTTCTCTATTGTGTTCTGAGCAGCTTTGGAAGAGAGGTTTGGCTTTGGTTTGGACTGGCTGTGAACAGTTGTCAGACATGATGTCCTGACATGTTGAGAAGAATTTATTTATTTTCTCTTGGTTCTGTAATTAGTAGCTTCCACCTCGGATAAAATTGTTCTTCTGCTGCTAACTTTATGAAGTTTATGTTGGTTGTTGCACCTCTGGTTTTGTGTGATTGATTTTATCTTCAAACTTGAGTTGTATTGTTGTTTTTATGTACAAGGAGTATTAAGGTGTTTTAGCCAAAATAAGACAAAGGGGAAGATTGTTAATTCTATATTTGTATGATTGACATTATGTTTGGTAAAACTAACTTAGCTGAAATATGTTGAAATAAGATGTTCTATCAACTGGAGAAACATGTTAAATAAGATGTCTTATGGAGAATCATTCGACATCGCGCCTGTGTACAACTGGACAGTTGGATTCTTTTGGATTTTACAGATGCAAAATATTTTGGAAATATTATGATATCCTATGTGGTGCTCAGTTTAAGAATTAAGAGATTCAAGCTTAATTCAAAGAGTATTCTTAGTTTCTAATTATGGAGATAATTTAGGAAACTAATGATTGAAGTCTTATTTTTATGCAGAAGATTCTGCATATTTTTAGCAGCTGATTTGCTGTGCTTTTTAAGCTCAATCCAGTCCAGAAGATTGTTTTAAATAGATTGTCATTAACCTAGTTTCAATATGAATTTTGATTGTAACTTTTGTTTCAGTTTTAGGGTTTTCTTGTGAATTATGAGTCATTCTTGTATTATTTTGATACTTGAGTTGGACTATCTCTATTGAGTTGTAAGTATTTCCAATCACTCTTAAACTCCTATGTATAGAGAGATTGTGTGTTTGTGAAGTTTGTCTTCTAACTCTTTTGAATTGTATTCTTGTCACTATTTGTGACTGTAATAGATTTGAGAAGGGTCTCATACCTAGGTGAGTCTTAGGTAGAAGTTAAGTGTGGGTAGTGATTAAGTGAGAAATTGTAAATGAGGAAGTTTAGCTTCGAATTGATACTATTTAGTTGACTTTGTCCCTGGCTTGGTAGCCCCCAGAGCAGATGTTGTTGTAGACCGAATTGAGTTAAAAAATTTGTGTGTTCTTTTACTTTATGCACCGTTAATTGTTTTAAATTGTTCATTGTGTTGTTGTTCAAAGATCAGTGTTTCGACATCTCTTAGGACATATGTGACCTGAATACCAGAATTTCAATAAGAATGACTCATGAAGGCAACTCTGAAGTTAAGGAGATCAAAGCTTTGGTTTTGATTCAGATATATGAACTCTTTAAAATGGAAGAAGATGAAACGATTGAGACTATGTTCTCAAGGTTTCAAACCTTGGTTGCAAGACTTAGGATTATGAATAAAAGATACTCTACTTCAGATCATGTGAAGAAGATTATCAGAAGCTTGCCAACTAAATGGAGGTCTATGATAAATGCTCTTAAATTGGCTAAAGATCTGAACAACACTTCTCTAGAAGAACTGGTGAGTTCTTTGAGAAGTCATGAGATGGAGTTGGAACAAGATGAACCTCATAAGAGAGACAAATTTGTTGCTTTTAAATCCATCAGAAGATCTGAAAAGGCAAGAGTTCTTCAAGCATAAGAGATCGAGGATTCCAAAAAAAAATTTGATGAAGATGAAGATGAATTATCACTGCTGTCCAGAAAGATCAACCAACTCGCGATTGTATCCTTATTAATTATTTGTTCATTTTTATCAAGCATATATTCCAAAAATATATTTCCTCTGTCTCATATTATAAATAAATTTCACTTTTTTAGATTCATTAAATAATTAATATATTTAGAGACTAGATATATTAATTACTTAATGAATCTAAAATGTAAAATTTATTTATAATATAGAATAGAAAGAATATTTTAAAAGAAGTATTTCAGACAATTATTAAAAGTAAAGAAGTTATGCTTATAATTGGATCTTGGAGAAAATCCAACTCTTATACCATGATTATGAATGGAAATAATACAGCCTCCGTTCTTTTTTAAGTTTTTTTTTTAAATGTTTTTTTTTTGCACATCAAAAAAGTTAATCATTATTATTATTATTTTTTAAATAAATTTTTTTTTAATATTTTTAATTATTTATCATATACATTTGACTTTTAATAAATTAATTTTGACTTTTAATAAATTAATTTTAAAATGACGCTTAAAAAAAAGAATGGAGGGAGAAAGAAGTATTTAAGTTTGTTTTGCATGTATTATTAGAAATCATTAATATAGTCTATTTATGGTTCTTATGAAAGTATAAGAATATCAAATGCCATTTGCTAATTCAATTCTATAACAGGAAAGAATGCCAACATTTAATATCAAACATACAATTACGCATTGATGTTTTTTGAGGTATAAAGTACCTAAGTATATTGGGCTATGGAGGATAAATAAATTTAATAAATGGACAAATCTAACATTTCATAAGGGAATCAATTGACTCTATATAACATTGTTTCATTAATCCTCTGAGACTTTATCCAAAAAAAGAAACAGAACGGAGGTACATACTAAAGAAGAAACTATGAAACTAATTTAACATATTCCTTCTCTTCAACAATGAATATATTACACATCCCTCTTGGTACAGGGCAAACTACCGTACAAGATTTGTCGCGGTTGAATCTCATAAAATGTTTGTCACGTTTAAACTTTAGTTAAACAGAGCTTCTAGATGTTGTCATATTTAAATTGCGACAAATCTACAGAGAACCTCCAAAAAACATGAGACGGCTCTGAAGGGACTCGCAATCATCACAAAAAGGGAGCTGCAGAAGGGTTAACAACAATATGTCTAAGAGGATGAGCAACATCTTCACCACCAGCATGCTTAACAAACTCAGCAGGAGACAGAAAGTTTCCATGGCACACACACATTATCCTCACTTCTTCCCCTTTGCCATATTTATATAAGATTCCCTCAATTCTTCTTCCATTAGGACCGCACCCTTTTGTAAATACACAAGGCATGTCTTCCATCGAGTTTGTTCCAATTTCCTTCCCAATGTTTTGATTAGGAAGAGGTTTTTTAGATGCATTCTCCATTATCTCGGATCTTGAAGTTGTTCTTGTCAAATTCTCTTTTGTCTTTGGCACTCCTGATGAACCGAGGGAGTCCTGGTTGCTTCTTTCCTGTAAGGACTGATTGCTGGCTGGGCTTCTTGCTTCACCACAACTGCTTGATCCTGTCATGTATAACGAAACTAGTAACGGTAAAAAAACACAAGTTTTGGACAAGAAAAGAAATTATAAGGAAATTGAGCGTCTATTGAATTATAATAGGTGGATAATGCTATATCTTCCTTTGCAAGAAAAAAAATTATGTTTCCCTTTTTATATTTTCAGCTCAGTAATGCAATTTGCATACAAATTTTATCATTGAAAGTAAACACAAATGTGATCATATTCAAGTCAAAGGTATGCAACCTCAAATAAGTATAGCAACGATTTTAGAACTTCTGAATACCTGTGTTAGTAGAACTAGAACCCATTTACAGAAGTTTAAGAATAACTATTAATCAAACTTCAAGATAAAAGCTCCAATAAATTAGCAGAGGTTCATATCCTAACATGATCCAATGTAAGAAAACTTTCTACAAGTAAACATTACAAGGGCATTTGCTAATAATTATAATCTAGAAATTAAAATCTGTTTCCAAAATAAAAGTATCACATATCAAAAAGCTAATAATGAAGAGTTAAACAATTTCAAAGTGATCAACTATTTATTTACGATGGTTTTAGTTATGGCCAGAGATGCGACGCGACTATTGCGGTTGCGATCATTGCGGCATTATGATGCAGTTTTTACTATGATTTACAATCACACCGCAATTGTGACTTAATGAAGCTACGGACACTACCTCAAACGCAACATTGCGGCCGCATCACACGATACAATCCGCAATTTGAAACCGTGATCAATATTTTGGCCACATCAGGATGCGGGCCGCAATTAGAAACCATGATCAGGGTTACATTGTAAAGGTGGGCATGTTCTCATAAGGTTACGCTTGAAAAGCTTACTAATTAAAATAAGGTCAAAACATCTTGTGGACATGTTATAACTTGTCTCCCTAAGTTCTCTAAAATAACTTACCCAATGTCAAAAGATAAATTTTAGCAAGATGTAACTAAAGTCTTGTAATTCTAAACACACACTAACTATTTTCAATCACCAATGTATTTATAGTAGGGGGAAAGTGTAGGAAAAAATGGGAATGGAATCAATTCACCATAATTCATAAGAACTTTCAAACAAGTAAAAGCCATACTGTTTAAAATTTATAACAAATAAAAAGAAACAAATCAGAAATAGACAAGAGAACCTGTCTTCATCAATGGTCACACAACCAAAAGCAAACACAACACACACAAAACCACAAACATAGAAAAAAAAACACCATACGTACAAGGAAACTACTAATCAACAATCAATAAAAACCTTACTTAAAATGAAGCAAACAAAAGGATAAAAAGGTCGAAAATCGAAATGAAATAAATTACCTAGAAAAGGTTTGCTATCCATTTCAGAGACTGATGAAGAACTTCCACCTTGTGATTCTACTGAACCTTGAGAAGATGGTTGTGCAAACATCAATCCTTGAAAACCAACCCCAATTTTCCCTTTCCCTAACACATCACCAACAACAACTTGCTTTGATGCAACAGCCCAATTGGGTAATCCAAAAGGTAGCATAGTAGCAACTGTTGATGATCTGTTCAACACCATTGTTGCACCACCACCACCACCCTCTACTTCCTCTGAACAACCACCTCCACCACCACCTATAGGTGCCACCGTGGAAATGGAATCTTTCTCTGACTTTGAAATGGAAACTCTCTGCTTCTCTGACCTCCGTCTCTTAGCCTCCATCCTCCGCAGCGTCTGCAACTCCTTCCTCTTCCTCCACTCCTCTTCTGTCTCCGTCGGTAACGACGAAGCTCTCATAAGAGTCGGATACGCCGGAGACGGCGAAGCCACTCCGGCGGCCGCCGCAATATCTTCCCGGAGCAAAGGCATTGTTCCAACAACGGAAGAAGATCTAATAAGCTTCTTATTCTTAGCATGCTTGTCAACACCAAATCTACCACCTAATGAAAGACCAAGATTCAGTTCAATCCCTTCATCTTCATCCTCTTCTTCCTCTTCTTCTTGTTCACCATGCTCGTTCTCACGAAGATATTGATGATACTGTTGATGATGATGTTGCGCGTTCTGTGTTTGTTGTGCTGTTCTTGTTGTTGTTGTTGTTGTTGTTGTTCTATGAATATTATCATCACTTCCACCACTTGAAACACAGAGTCTCTCTAACAGATCTCTCGGATATTTCTCCATCTTCATCAATCAATCATACATGTAGATTCATAATTCTTATCAAAATGAATAAAAACCGCAATATCTATCTACTACTTGTTCTACAACGAACACGATACGGTGATAAATGATGATGTTGGTGTTGGTGATTATTCAAATCAGCAAAACCCATGAAACAAAACATGGTAAACCCAAGAATAGCATAGACCCAGATCACAAAAACGTTCCTTTTCAAGCGGAGACAAAAAAAAACCAATGAAATCGAGTAGAAAATTATTTGAATTCAATTCAAAAAAAAAAAAAAAACTTTTTACCGTTAAAACAGGAAACAATCCCACAAAAATATAGATTTTCCGATAACCCGGAAGATGAATGCAAATGGGAAGAAAAGAAGAACAAAAAAAAGATTGGAAGAATGAAAAAATTGTTTTGTTGTTGAAATTGAAAGAGAAATAGAAGAAAAAAGAATAATATTTGTGTTACCGAAATTACCCTCGAGATGTGACAACGAGGTCGTGGAATGAAGAGACAAGTGGCGATCATGGGAGGGTACTGTACATCGACACGTGGTGAGTGTGACGCGATTTTTCACTGCAAAATGTTTTTTTGTGCTTTCGCAGAAGAGGTCACTGTCATGCAAGTTGTTATGAGGTAGGACACGTGTCGAGTAGAGAGAACGTGAGTATTTAGGTGACACGTGTTGTTGGAGATTTATAGGAAAGATAAACGTGGACGCGTGGAGGTAACGTTAGTGAAGGTTTTGTTTGGTACTTTGTGTGTTTCGTGTTCTTATATAGACATTGTTGCGTCTTTGGTTGGTGGTTCCTGTGGTGTGTTGGGTTTTGGGATGGGTCATGTTGCATTGTGTTGGTCGTTTCTGAAGGTTCTCAGTTTCTCCAATTGGTCAAGCTCAATGGCAACCATGTGACACACAAGTCTGTTTTTTTTATTCATGGTGTTCTATTCACCATTTGAATTTTTCACAAAATACACCATTTCCATCTTTAATACTCCCTACTACTAAAATATCACTATTTAAAACAATTATTTTTATAAACAACCTTCAATTATTTTGAGGATTTAGTGTTTTTACACTTATCATTCAATAAAAAGTCATCAATTCATTATATTATTAAATTTCTTTTAAATAAAATAATAATTTAATTAAATACATAATGATGATTGGTTGATGATGTCAATGTATCACCTATTTTTTTTATTATTGAAGAGGGTTGCAAAAATGAAATGAAATGGAGAGTCCTTGTAAAATTTAAGTGCATGGAGTGTCTTTGTATTCATTTTATTCAAATTTATTTATATATAATTTGTTTGTTAGTTAAAGCTATTTTATAAAATAATTAATATAATATTAATTGTTTGAATTTGATAATTATTAAAATAATAATATATTTAATTTAAAAATATTAAAAATGAAATGAAAGATTAAAAAAAATTCTTTATTAAATGATAATAAAATTATATTAAAGAAATAATAGTGTTGATGTTGATTGGATCGTTGAAAGTGGTCGTTAATATCACATTGAATAAGTGTTTCCTATCATTTTGTCCTTTAAAATATATGTGGTTTCTCATCATTATTGGATGGTCGAGAGAAAGTCCTTACATTATATATAGAATGAGTGAAGGCTTCGAGGGCTTTATCAGAGAACAAGTTATTGATTGTTGTTATATTCTAATTTTTGTCTATAAGATCTCTCATCATCTCTTATTATCAATACATCAAGATCACACATTAGCGTTGGTTTACCCTTCTACTTCATCCTATCTTTAAGTCTGTTCTTGAGGGATCACCAAACACCTTAAATTGTGTATCTTGTACATGTTTTTTTAGATGGATTAACTTTTAACTAGCATCAAAATATGTATATATATATATATATATATATATATATATATATATATATATATATATATATATATATATATATATATATATATATATATATATATATATATATATATATATATATATATATATATATATATGTTTCTTTGAATGTTTATATTATAGGCGATGACACAATTGCATCTATCTCACCATCTAACCTAGAGTTTGAGGGTTGGTCCTCAGTCAAATAGTTCTTCAATGAATAGCAAGAGCTCAAGCTTTAAGACTATGTCTATGATATCAAAGTTTTTGGTTCAAAGAGCTCTTTCACTTTATTTAGGTCAAGTTTTTCTCAAGGATGGTGGTGATATTTGAAGGTGTGAAAATACAAGAAAGGGGGAGGGGGGGGGGGGGTGAATTGGATTTTTAATAAAAAACTTTTTTATAGAAATATTATTCCCCTTTAAGTTTAAATACTTTTTCCTTCACTCTTGATAATAACAATAAGTAAGAACATGAAGTAAAGAACAAGGTATGTGTGATACGATGGGGGAACTGACTTGTGTGTTTTGCGTTTTATCGCAAATGTTGCGGTTAGCAAGAGTCGCCATCGACTTTTCTTTTATCCAAAAGGAAAGGCTGAAAAGAACTGGAAAGACCTTTGAGATTGTTTCTTGAGTTCGGATGGTAGATTATGAAAAGGAAAGGTGTTAGTACCCTTTTCATCCATATTTATCTATGGGCTCTTAGTTGCTTGTTAGATCACTTACTTTTGTTTGAAAGTATGCTTTGTGTGGTTTTTGAAAGTATTTTGAAAATGCTTCATCGTTTAGGCAAACTTTGTAATAGTTCTCGTTCGTAAGAACGTATACAAAGTGTTGATCTTTTGAAAATGTTTCATGTTTGGAAAATGTTTTGAAAGTATTTTTGAAAGTGTTGGTGTTTGTTTTGAAAATAAGCAAGAGTGTTTGATTTGAAAATGAGCAAGCAACTAGGAACAATCTACCTACTCAAAAGTCTTAGTTCATTTCTTTCTTTCCTTTGATATTGCTATCTTACCATTGATTTGGCAAGAAGCCTTATCATTGGGTGTAAAGGAACGGACGTGGGTCATCGTATAGCCATGATAGCAATATTGTGAAATATCTTAGCAATTCTCTTTGAGGGGCTAAAATCATTTTGAATGGTAACATTGATAGCGTCATCGAAGGACTATGATCTTGTATTTTTTATTGCTTTTTGCTAAGATATCCCACATGCATAACATGGTCATTTTGATAAGGCAACAAAGTGGAATTACCCTAAGGGTGCAAGTGTGCAAATGTGTTGATTTACATGCATTGTTTTGTCTTGAATTAGAGTTTGCTAACTTGTTGATTTTATCTTTTCATACAAAACCCTAATTACTAGCATTTATATAAAGTGATAAATTGCGGAAAATAAAAATACTAAGTTATTACATCATGAGGGAAGGGGATGTACAAATTTACAAATGGGAATTTTGCAAGAAAATTAAACCTAATTATCTATTACAACCATATTGAATAAATGTACAAGAATTGAAAATAATATACAAATGCAAAATGGAAAAATCAATGATTTTTGTTTGGTTTTCATGAAAGGGTTTTAATCTAATTAAGAAAATGATTAATGAAAATTAAATAAAATTAACTTAAACTAATTAAGAAAAGAAATTAACTAAAAAAAGGATTTTTTAAGTTTTTTTTATGAAAAGGTTTTTAATTGAAAATAATATAAAAATTAATTAATTAAAATAAATCTAAGAATAATATAATAATTAATTCTAATTATCTAAATATTAATTATTTAAGAAAAGAAAATAATTTTTTTAAAGAAAAAATATTTTTTAGTTTTTTAGTTTTATAAGAAAATAAAATAAGTAAGTATAAATAATAAATAAAATATTTTTTTTATATTTTTATTAATAAAGAATAATAATAATAATAATAATAAAAATAATAAAAGTAATATGAAAATGAAAATAAAATAAAGAAAAAGAAAAATAAATAATAAAATAAAGAGCCAGGGGTATAAACATAGTCAGGGGGTATAAGAATCAAAAATGAAAAGCCCAACAAAAAGGGCCCAGGCGCTGGTTGCAAACAAAAAACAGAAGTGAAAAATGTGAAAATGCACAAAAGGGTACGACTAAGGCTCGAACACAGGTCCTAAAGGTTAACAGGCGCACACTTTATCACTGGGGTGGCTATACATCCGTTCATATAAACAAAACAATAAATATATAATCTAAGTTAAGTCCTGAATGAACTTTATCTTCAACCTCCAGCCAGAGAACCTGTAACTCACTCATTTCTCATCCATTCACAAAACTTCCAACATCAAACTTGCTAGAAATTTCCTCACGATTCTGAATATATAAATAACTTAAGCTAATTCTCAAAGATGAGCATGGATTTCTAACAGTACCAAATTCTGACTTAAATTTTTTCAGAGGTTCAAACTCAAAATTCTCCCTACTCAAGCAACATAAATAAAATCTAAGGACATGTATAGTTTCAGGGCAATGATGTCTACATTTTATCTTCACAAATGCAAGCCTAAAAATGCCTAAATAAGAAGATAGAAGTTCAAGAAAAATAACTCAAAACTAGAAATCGTGAAATGAGTTTGAGCTTGTTTCAAGTGATGGTGATGATCAGGTTAGGTTCCTTGAACCTCTAGGAAGCTAATGAAATAGCTGGCTTGAACTGAGGGTAACTGAAATGGCCTAGAGAAGTTAAGATGCAGACCTCTGTTTTTGGTTATGGAGGATGATATAAATGGTGTTACAGTTTGTAAACAGGTATTGGTATGGTTTGTGTATGATGCTAAGAAGCTTTTGGAAGTATTAAGCCAAGAAACGCACTAGTGGTTTTGAAGATTGAAGTTCAAAGTCAGAAATGACACAAAAAATAAGGTTTTTAGCAATTTCTAACATGAGGGAATTTGGGAGTGCTTAAGGGTGTTCAAACTCGTGTGTTAGGTTGCATAATAGTGTTTTGATATATAGGAAAAGGTTTGGAGACTTGAGATGGTCAGAAGTACAAGATCACATATTTTGGCTTCTTGGCTTGTTTTTGAAGTAAGATTGAAAAACATGGTTTCAATGCATAGTACAAGCATGGTCTGAGTAGTTAGAGGCTCTAGACAAGTTTCTTATGGATTTTAGATTGTGTGTGATCAGAAGGAACAAGTGCAAAGCTCAAGACAAGTTGACTTTGTGATTAAAGCCTCTTTACTAGAATGACAATGTTACGTTGTGCCATTAATGGAAATGCAACTTGAAGAATGGCTCAAATGCTTGGATCAAAGCTCTAACAGTTGTGTAAACATTTAATTATGGAGTGACAAACAAGTTTGAGGCCTGAAAAGCAAAGATTATGCAGCCTAGCATGGATTTGGTTCATGTATTCTTCACAAAATGGCTTGTAATTCAAGTTTGAAAACCCTAACTTCTTGTCTTCGATTCTCCTTGATCAAACATGATCTCAACGAGTTTTTGGACATTTTGGAAAGCTTGTAACATCCTATACAACCTTTATTTGGAAATATTTGAAAATTACTCTTGGAACTATGTGAAAAATTTCCATGAAGTTAGGTCAAAATCCTGCCTAAAATAGGGCAAAATTTCACTAAGTTTCCAAGTTTCATGAACATGTATTCACAAAATCATAACTTGAAATCCATGCATTTCTAGGGGAATTTGTGTTATAAAATGTTTTAGATCTCATTGAGATATACAATGTTCATGTTGGAAGTTTCCTTTGAATCATCTTGTATCATGGTGAAAAATTGGCTCAAAGTTGTGAAAAAATATGAAGTTTTCAACACTTAGAAAAATTTCTAAGTTTAGAAATTTTGACTTTTCAAAATGA